TATTAAAATATATTATTTTATAAAATAAGCTATGATAAAAGAGTATTGAAGGTCAAGGTTAGTTATGAAGAAAATTTATTTGAGTAAGTAAATTTAGAAAATTTTCTTTGAAAATAGATAAATTATTCAGATAATTTCAGTGTCATTTTGAAACAATTGAAATAATTATTTGATGTTGACTTCAAGAAAGTTAAGATAAATATGCAATCTCAAAAATTAAAAATTTTATAAAAAGATGTGTTTACTATCTTTTAGTGTGCTTAGATTAAAGTTTATTATTCTTTAGATACTATTTTATAATTTTAAATCTGTTATCTTCATTTTTAATTAATTGTGTTTAATAAATTCATCATACATTACTGCTGTATATTGTAAACCTGTAGTCTATTAATATATTTATGTACTTATAGACTATCCTACTTTTGATATAGTTTCAATTTTGCATACAATTTCGCATTATTGACTTTTTGACATTTCGGAAAATTGTAGCAAATACGACACAAATATAGCATATAATTTTGAAACGTTGAAAGCTGTTTTCACTAATATTACGCAATAATTTTATTGTAAAGTTATGGCAATTGTAGGAATTAATGGATTCGGAAGAATAGGGAGAATGTGTTTACGTGCATGTATTGAAAAAGATATTGCAGTAAATGTTATTAAATTAAAATTTATATTTGTTTGTAAATATTCATCTATCAAAGAGGCATAAAGCAATTATGTTATATTAGGTTACGATGATTAATGATCCATATATATCGACCGAGTATATGATATACCTATTTAAATATGACTCTACACATGGACCCTTTGCTATAAAAGTGGAATGTGAAAATGGACATATTATTATCGGAGGTATATTTAACAATTAATGTTATTATCTATTAATATTATATTTATTATTTTAAATTTACTATTATGTGATTATTTTATTATTTACTATTGAGTAAGTGTTTTATTAAAATTAATTTAACTCAAATTTAAATATTAAATAATTAT